AACACAGAGGAACATTTATACTTTTTTGTGTTTACTGTGTTGTCCCTCTGTATTCCTCTTCTGCATAAAAAAGAAGGTCCTTCAAGACATATCTCTGAAAAATTTCATGCAAGTAGCGTATCTGCTGACATAATAGCAGGATCTTTTTTCTTTGTTTGCGGACATGACAAAGGAGAAATGACAGAAGCCTGAAATTTCCCACCAAATCAAAATTGCAATCATTATTAAAAGGCATGCCCATACATTTTATGCACTAGATCAACTGTTTAAATTTAAGAAACCGTACCTTTAAGAAAACCCTTTAAAAATGGGTAAATATCCATACAGAAAATAATGCTGCAAAATTTGTAAAAACGGTGACATTTTAAACTGTATGCGTTAATGAGAAAATCTTTGCCATATTTCCAAGCTCAAACAGAATCTACGGACTCTTTTTCACATTTTCTTTGCTGATTTGGAGGAAAAATCTGTAGGATTCCGCATAGTTTTGCAAAAGTGATTTCCATGCAGGCCTTTTTTTTTTTTTGCAAAACTATTATATAAAGCGCTAGGGTTCGAGTCCCATGAAACACAATTCACAACATTCAATGAAAGAGCTCAAAGTCTCATATAAACAACCTAAAGCAGCATGGTTGGCACAGCACATGAATTTTGATCTCACGTTTGATTTTGTTAACTTAGATTTAGTTAGATTTAGGGTAGGGTTTAGTGCAGTTGGTTTGTTAATTTTAAATGTGAAAGCGCTTTAACGTTTTAACATTACTAATTTCTGCTGTGATACGTACAACAACCAATGTAATAATATGTTGCCTTAGTCAAGTTTACCTGTTTTGGAGAAAATTGAACACGCTATTTAGCGCCAATCACTTTGAAAGTGTCGTGAAACATGTTATAAGCAACACAATATCATTTAGCAAAAATGCACCTATAGGCACAAGACTTAGGCAAGAAGAAAAAAAATTATATCGCTTGTAGCACTTCTTGTGGACAAGTCACCTGAAAAGTACAGCAATACTGTATGTACCCGGAACAATGTATTTCAGTTTTTGCTTCAGTTTTGTTATGGCATATATGTCAAAACTTCCATCAATCCAGCACTGTACACTTCCTGTTTAAGAAACATCATCTTCCATTCTGGTGTCTTCCCAGTTAAGAGTGCACATTGAATTCATGGGTTTATCTTGGACAAATAAAGGTTAGCTTGCATAACTGGCTGGCCTGACTGAAGCAGTCCTGCTGTTTACTGCCCAGGGAACAGCAGGCAGAAACTGTAGCCCATTTGTGCATTTATGTAATCACCACTACAGTAATCACCACTACAGTTTTCTTTCTGCAGACCCCAGAGAGACACACACTTACACAATGCCTCAACACAACCCTCTTCATCTTTCTCATTCTGTCTCTTCCTGTGTCTTTCAAATTCGTGAACAAAAATGGGTACAGGAACTTTGATAATTGTCAAGGGATAATTGTAGCGCCCAGATAGATACACACCACAGAATGGGACGACAGGAACAAACCCTCCAGGTTGCATTTATCAGCTGATGACATTTCATGAGTGAGCATTACACAAAATGTAAGACCACAACAGACGCAAGTCACACAAGTATGTAGGGTTTTAAAAAGGTTCTTGCCTGAGGTGCATGTGCAGAAACTCATCCTCACCACAATATGCCGGGGCACATTTAATGTTGGCTCATCAGACATGGAGAGGTTCCACGTTACCATGTTACTCATTCATAGTCCGTTTCTATTAATCAACATCATTGCACTGTAGCTGAGGAACATTGGGATTGTGTCATAATTTCAGCAAAGACCGTCACAGCATTGATGTGAACATAATACCAGTTCAAACTTAAAGGGATAGTCCACCCAAAAATTTAAGATTTTTCATTATTTCCTCTCCCTCATATCATTCCAAACATGTATGACCTTTTTTCTGTAAAAGACAAAAGAAGAATGTTCAAACATCTTTGGACCCCATTGATTTTTATAGTATGGACAAAACTCAGAGACATTTTTCAAAACATCTTTTGCTTTCCACAGAAAAAGCAAAAGGGCCCAGCACTGAAACAGACAAAAAGCATAGCAGAAAGTGATAAGGAGTCATAAAAACTGATAGACATAAATATATACTACATTTATATAGCTCATTGTAATGTTTAACTTAAAAAAATCAATAAATATACTACAAATTAGGGTTGGGCGATGTCTACCAAATTGGCATCGGAAGATGTCTACAGTGAAAAACCATGATGGACGTTTCCGAAGCGTGAATCCATTTGCAGAAAGGCACGGAAAACAAATAACGCATTCTACGGAGCCACTAAAGGGACATGGTTAGCCGCTTGCTAGCAGTAGACTGTTACATTACAGTACATGAAAGTTCACTTACCACATACACAGAGTAAGGAGAGATGACTGATAGGACAATGGCGAATGATTTGCAGATACTGAGCACCCCTGACAAATATCTAATCTTGTAAAATGTGTGGTAGGTACTGCCGCTCTATAGTATAGAGTCGTGTGATTGCGAATCTCGAAAGTGAAAGTGAAAGTAAAATGAGAGCGCGCATTCGAAAGCTGTTTCAATGCCCTGCATATTAGTAGCGGCTCCCTGATGCCCGCAATTTATATACAGTATACTTACCCAACGATATAATTGCGAGAGAAAGTATTGAAATATATTTTTTTTATCATCCCATCTCGTATGTTATTTATTCCCTTTAGGGGTTCCGTAGTACACTTAATTTCCTTTCCGAACACGGAATTGGGATGTGGCGGATTGCGGGGGGTATGGGGTGTGGGGGTGAAGAGATCACGATGCCGGCTCAACATCGTGTCTGTCAGTCATCTGCCAACCCTACTACAAATTGATTGTAAAATATTCTAGTAGATCCATAACTACAGTACATGAATAGATTCATTACATTATTGTACAATTATGTTGTAAGTTATTCACTCTTACAGCCAGTTTGTGTAGTAGACAGAAAGTAGTGCAAATTGGATAGATTTTTTATCAATAAAGACTTAGTTATGATCAGGTAAATTAAAATTACACACAAATCATGTTAAGCAAGTCCAAAATCCATCAGTAAGCCCCATCTCGTATTCCAGTGGAATAAACCCAGCCTTCATGACTATGACATGACATTTACATATTTACAGCTTTGAATTTCAAAGACTTAATTACAATGGGAGAATTAGCTTTAAGAGCCAAGACATTTGGTAGCAGCGCAGCGAGAGAGAGAAGCTTTTCAGGTGTTCAGTTACACATTAGTTTAATCAGGAAGTAGAAGACACTCTACATTACCTTGCATGGCTACAAAGTACCTTTGATGTACAATTACACAAATTACAGTATGGAAAAATGAGGAGGGAGGGTGGGCTTACTTTAAGGATCGAGCACACTATTATTTTAGCAGTGAGCAGATAGTAAGCAGCACGGGTATGTTACAAAAGACCGTGGGCTGAATGAGTTCTGCAGTCGAAAAAGTGAGAGAGCACCTTGTGCTCCCAATAATGCTAAGCAGTGGAACATGATCACACTGCATCTCCATTTCATATAGAGAACATGCTAATGGGTATAACAGGCACTAAAAGAAATCTCTATCTTCACCCCCTCCTCTGAGCCCAGACAGCAAAGCAATGCGTCTACACAAATTGAGTCAATTAGTCAAATGAAAGAATTGATTTTTAACTTTGGAGATGTCAAGAGGTCGATATTAAAACTATTACTATTTGTACTATTTTGTCTAAATAAAATACTACAAACTGAATTCAGTTGTTTTAAATGCTACAAATGAATTTAGGCATGAAAACATTATAATGTACAGCATGAAAAACATGGATGTTCATATTGAGATTGGTTAAAAATTTGCATTTAACTATGTTATTAATTATTAGTTATTATGTTATTAATTATTACTTATTTCATTGTTTGAAATATTCTAATTTTTAAATTCATAAATATTTTGCTGATGTAGATTTCTGAAAGATCATGTCAAACTAAAGACTATGTAGAAAATTGTGACTGCAGAAAATTCAGCTTTGTCATCAGAGGAATAAATTATATTTTTTTTAGAAAATATTAAAATAGAAATAATTTATGGTAACACTTTAGTACAGGGACCAATTCTCACAATTAAATAGTTGCTTATTAGCATGCCTATTATCAACATATTGGGTGTTTCTAAAGAACATATTCTGCACGACCATATTCTACATCCCTAATCCTACCCATACCTAAACCTAACAGCTACCTTACTAATTATTAATATGTAGCCAATTAGGAGTTTATTGAGGCAAAAGTCGTAGTTAATGGTTTGTTAATAGCGGGAATTAGACCTTAAAATAAAGTGTGACCGAATTTATTTTAAATTGTAAGAATATTTCAGAATATTACTGTTTTTACTGTATCTTGGATCAAATAAATGCAGCCTTGGTGAGCATAAGAGACTTATTAACAGTTTTACTGTTTAAACTTCTGAACAGTAGTGTGTATATATATACAGTAGATAGATAGATAGATAGATAGATAGCTAGATAAAAAAATGACAAAGCAAATCAATTACTCATAATTTATAATTATTTGTAATATTAATTTTTAATTTACAAATATTTCTATTAAGTATAGTAAATGAGATATGCTAAATCACTACCTTCTCAACATTCACAATTACTAAATTGGCCACAAGAGATTAATGGACAAACTAACTAACCAGCCAACTACACAACCAACACTTGTTAACATAACATTTCAGACATTCCTTTTAAACCATGACAACTTTAACCTGTTAAACCTGTGAACCAAATTGACCCTGCATAACAAATCAAATCTCGAGAGTCACAATTTTTTGTTTGAGACAACTTTACTTTGCTCAAATCACATGTGTTGAACATGTGATTCCAAACAGTCTTAAATGGTGCAAAAAGACCTGCAACAGCACAGAAGGGTTAAAGTGCTACATGTTAACTGTTGGAGTCCACCTCTCACCTACCTATATTTCATGCCAGTTCTCAAGCAGTGGTCACCAGACGAGGGCATGTTCTGCACAGACAGTTGGCCCAAGCTACGGGCAACCATTGCCACGGCGCGAAACTTGCTTTTGGTCCCCAAACTTGGGCTGTTAGTGTTCTGACGGTTCAGTCGGTCCTCTGTGCTGCGACTGACAGCTCGGTGGTCCGTGCACACAAAAGACACCTGCATGCTGACGGCGAGCCCCCCCAGACAGCTTTACCACAGTGAGGATGATGATGCTACAAAGAGCAACTAGTCCCAAAATCTCCCAATGCTGTTACTTCAAAAACTAAAGACAAATGTCTTCCTGCCCTGAGGACAATGAGGTGAAAAAAAGTTCCTTTTCTTAAAACTTGAAGAAAATGTTGTTAAAAAAGGTCGGAATGGATGTGGCAGCTGTCAAAAAGGTGAGTGCAACACTCTGTTTTAACCACAAGTGCAGTTATAGCTCTGAAGTGCTGCCAGAGTGTGTATCTGTCCATGTGGCGTCTGGTGTGTGAAACGTGTATAAGTAAGTGTCTTGGTGCGTGTGTGTGCGCTAGTTTCGGTGAGAGTGAATTCCTGCACTCTGGCTCCAGGGCAGCAGCAGCTTGTGAAGCGGTGAACTCTGGGCACCAATCACATCAACACAAAGAACAGGGGAGAAATCCCACATCCATCCACGTCACACTGCAGCACATCAAGCGCACGCTTATCCGCTCTTCTCCACTCTCCTCTGACTGCACTGTAACTCCTTTTTATTCCCCACTTTCTTCAGTTGCTTTATAGTTGTCCATCCAGTGGCACTGTAGCCAATCTGTCTATTCCTAACATTAACTGACAGTGAGTTTTCATATTCAGGCTTCTGGTTTAGATCAGCATCCAGTCATATTTCCCACTGTGTGCTGAGTGAATGCATTAATGCTAAGTGAGAGAGAGTATATAAAACAGCATAGTATGACGAGTGTGCAAGCAAGCAAGAGAGAGAGAGAGAGAGAGAGAGAGAGAGAGAGAGAGAGAGAGAGAGAGAGAGAGAGA